GAAAAGTGTGATGTTATTTATTCTCATGTTTTCCTATTGCATTATTTTCTGACTTCTTCATTGGGAATCCCAGCTATGTTGGAATTTATTTATTATTTTCTCTATATTCATTTTACATCGTTTCTTCCTTTTTTCAGGAATGGACAATTTATTCACCTTCTAGCCAATGAGGAAGGATTTTGGGGGAGAGGATTGGTCAGGGTCCCAACAGAAAGCAAATGACACTCAAACTGGAAGAACAGGGTTATCAACAAATGCGTGGGTTTATAGAGACAAAGGCCTGACCAGCAAGGGTCACATCTAGGCCTGAACCCACAGAGGGCACTACCTGGAGAGATGCCTGGTAGGGGAACGAACCCATGGCAAACCAGCAGAGATGGAGCCAGGTGGCTGGATACCTCCACCTCACTTTCCACCTGCCACATTGGCCACATTACCTGCCAACAAAATGGTGGGGCAGCCCACTGCCACCATTGCACAGATGGCCTGCTTCCAGGGTGGAGCAAGGTAGAGGAGGGCGGCGAAAGGAAAATATCCAGTAATGGTGATTCTTGGTGGGGGAAGTTCCCTCTGTTTTAAGAAAGAGACCCAGGAATAGAAAGACCTGCTCTCTCTTCTTCCTTCGGATGTTGCCATACAAGGTTCACAAGGCTTGCTCCCTTCCAAAGGGTGGACACACACCAAACCCAGCTGAACAGACAGATGTAACAAAACCCTAAATCAACTGACCTTCTTATGATTTCCCCATGTGAGAGATACTACATTTGAGTATTTTTAAGTCACTTCAAGATGGTTTTCTGTTACTTGCAGCTAAACTCAGGTGTATGATGCGATGAGATGAATGGAGAGGCAGTCTAGCTGCTACCCAGATGCCTAGGGATTCAATTTTCTCTGTGTGAGGGTATCAGTTGTGAAGACTGATCATAAAAATCCAGAAACTGTTTAAGATCTGTTGGGAAATACTAATGCTAGGGAAGATGGAATAATGATCCTATTGTAAACCAAGTCTGAGCAGCTGGAATTCACTGTCACAGTAATCAGCTGTCAGAGGGAAACTCATGAAGCCTGTGTTAGGTTAATTGTATTCATGGACCCAATTATTGCCTTCCTGAACCTGCACCATTCGCCTTGTGGCTCTGGACTCTTTTTCCACTCTGAATCTGAGCTGACCCTGTGGCATGTTTGATCAACAGAACTTGGAGGCAGTGACACTATGCCAATCTCATACCTTAACTCCAAAAGGCTTTGGATGCTACCCTGCCACCTCCATGTTCAAGCTCTACTGGAGGAAGATAGACTACCTGGAGGAGAACCCAACAGTCCCATTCCAGACTATGCTGAACAGCCTGCTGACCCCCAATAGGTGAGAGACTGCAACCAAGATCAGCAGAGTTGCCTACCCAAGTCCCAGCTGACCGTAGTACATTAAGTAAACACATCTGAGACCAGAAGAACTGCCCAGCAGATACACAGACTTGCATGCAATATTAAATTGTTAGTATTTTAAGCTACTGTGTTTGAGGATTGTTACAAAGCCATAGCTAACTGATACTGGACCTTAAGGACTAACAAACTTGCATGGGTACAATGCCACAAAGATTAACTCAACTGACTGTAGGAAAAATATGGAAACACTTATCTTCAACCAGTAGCCTACCTACACCATGCAAAATAGCATTGGCTTGGGCTTGGGATGTGGCTCAAGCGGTAGCGCGCTCGCCTGGCTTGCGTGCGGCCCAGGTTCGATCCTCAGCACCACATACAAACAAAGATGTTGCGTCTGCCGAAAACTAAAAAAAAATAGATATTAAAAAAATTTTCTCTCTCTCACTAAGAAAAAAAAATGACTAAAAAAAATAGCATTGGCTTGTAAGAATGTACTAGGGATAGCTCCAATAGAAAATGCTCATGAAACGGTTCTCAGCCCTGCTTGGTAGGAAGTAGAATTAGCTAGCCATGGAAAGCCCCAGCTCTGAGGTCACATCCCTGTGTCCCTCCCCTTCTAGTGTGATGTTAAAATCTTGAGCATGGAGTACATCTCTGGAAGCCCCTGAGGGACAGATGGAGGATGGGTGGGAATTACACATGGACTCATAACCAGACCGTGAACTGGTGTCTAGACAGGGAAATTACCAACCAATCCCACAATGTAGCAGCCTTGGGGACTTCCTGGAGCCATGGTCATTGCAGAGGACACTAACATTGGCAGGCAGAGGTGATCTGGATGGCACCTTTAAACACAGCCCTTGCAAGGGAGACTCTGTAGTTAGCAGGAAACAATCTAGTATCATTTAGTAGCTGAAGGAAACGGTAGGAAAGTATTAAGAAAGGCCACCTGGGGACATGTCCAGGGAGTCTAGATGAAGGTCACCTCTGGATGGATTTCTCCAGCCCTTGCAGCATTGCCAGAATGGCAACAAATCCTACCAAGAAGGGAACACAGAAGAGCCATCCAAGATGAGAAAAGATGGCAACTGAGTTGGCATTCTCTTTGGTGGGGCAAGATGGCCACTGAAGGACTTTGGAAGTCCAGGATCTGGTAAGTGTATTTAGTGTCACATGGGGGGACCAACATGCCCTGTAGCTGATGGTTCACTGAAAATTCCCCCAAACTCTAAGCTACACTGGCAGCTGTGTCTTTACCTGGAGCTTTATAAATGGTGACCACAAGCCCCTTGGATTTCCTTTGATGATTTGCATCAGAACCCCTGGTGTCCCCCAGCACATTAGTTTAGAATAGCAGAAAAGAAAGCAGCTGTGACAGAGGCATATGTTTTGAATTGCCACTTAAAAACAGCAACTCGATAACAAAATCAAAAGCATATGTGGGGGCTGGGGTTGTGGCTCAGCGGTAGAGTGCTCGTCTAGCATGTGCAAGGCTCTGGGTTCAATCCTTAGCACCACATAAAAATAAATAAATAAAATAAAGGTATTGTGTCCAACTACAACTAAAAAATAAATATTAAAAGAAAACATATGGCCAAAGTTTACAGCAAAACTGGGCAATAATGTACACTGGATGCCCAACATACAAGCCAGTAAGAACAAACCACCAACAGCCCCCAGAGGCTTGTATGGAGTCAGCACCTCTGTAGGAAAACAAGGAAGCAGTAGACCCAAGAACTCACTGGGAAGTAGGGCAGGTAATTCAGGAAGGCAAGTGGGAGGAGGCAGCATTTTTTCTCCCTCTCACAGTAGATGAATGTTAGGGGTCCATCATAAGCAGGAAGGTTCCATTTAAGACAGCAACACTAAATGTGGCACATAGTATATGCAAAATTATACACATAGTCATGAACCAGGGAAGACACTGGAGCATCAGCTCCCGAGAACACTCAACGCCCTAGGGGAGAGCAGGGACTTCCTTCCCCTCTCCTGGAGTGGATCTGTGGCTTGCCAATGGAAGAGTGGCCCTCCAAGAGCTCCTTGCTCTCTCCTACTATTGAAGGGAAAGGGTGGACGAACAGCTTCATTCAGCTGCCTCATCCTAAAAATCTCTAGATCAGAGATCTCCAAACCTGGACTTCATCTGTGGCCACCTGAAATCTCCAGCATTGCATTGCACTTCTCTGATTCTCCTTATTTGTTTGTTTTTGTACCAGGGATTGAATTCAGGGACACTTAATCACTAAGCCACATTTTAATTTTTTTGAGACAGGGTCTCACTAAATCGCTTAGGGCGTCACTAAGTTGCTGATGCTGGGCTTTTTTATTTTTTATTTCTTATTTGTAGATGAACACAACATCTCTATTCTGCTTATTTAGTTTTCTATTGGTGCTGAGGATAGAACCCAGTGCCTCATGCATGCTAGGCAAGTGCTCTGCCACTGAGCCACAACCCCAGCCCGCTGAGACTGGTTTTGAACTCGCAATCCTCCTGCCTCAGTCTCACAAGCCATTGGGATAAGAGGCATAAACCACCTCACCCTTTGAAACGGGAATAATTTTAATGCGGCAGTGTCTTATTTATCTTGAGAGACTGTGAGGGTGATCATTAGCGACCATGGGTGTGGAAGTGAGGGCGTCATGAGCGCTTTCCCCGCTGTGATGATGAATTCAGATGGCCATTCTGTCCCTGCTGCTGTGGGATCCTGGGCAAGTCCCAGTTGGCCTCAGTTCTCCTCACCTGGAAAATGGTATTCTGTATTATGGCGTTGCTGTAAGAGTGAAATGGAAAGACACGGGAAATGAGCTTAGTGGCCTCAGTGCCTGACACTTCGCGAGCGCTCACTAAACGTTAACTGAGAATCATTTAATGGTTTTCTTAATTAAAGCTCTATTATTATGAAGATTGTTGAATTCTTCTATATTCTTCCCCCTCTAAAACGCCAGAGGGCGACATAGACAGCGGGACCCCCAGTCACTACACACCTGACGCAGCGCCTTCGTCGGCCACGCGGTGGCGCTAAGCCCCTGAATGTCTGTTTTCCCGCAGGTTTCGGGGAGCAGAGAGCTGACCCGGGAGAAGATGCGGGTAGAGGGGAGTCCTGGAAGACGAGGAGCCCTGACCGAAGGACCTGGGATCCCTGGGCTGAGTAGTTCAGGACACAGTAGGATCAGTGGACAATGAATGGTTCCTGCGGCCTTTATGAAAATGAGGCTCCCCTTCCTCCCAGTCGGGTCTGCATCTTTCCCCGGGCGGGGGAAGGCTGGGGGGGTGGGGTGGAGCGCGCTCCTCGGCTTGCTGCAGCTCATTCATCCGCGGCGCGGCACGCCGTTGCCATGGAGATGTGATGCAGACCGGGGGCGGGGGGAGGGAGGCCCCGGGTGACGTCCGCGCTCCTCGCAGCTCGTCTCCCGCGGCCTCCCAGTTCTTGCCTATTTTGGAAGAGAGCCGCAGCCCTTCTGCTGATGCGTGCGCGCTGGCGCCTTTTTAAGGCAACTGGCGGAGTGGTGGCTCCGCCAGAGCCCGGGAGCTGCCCCCGCCCCCGGCCGCGAGCTCGGGCAGGCGGGCCGGGAAGACCCCGGCGCCATCTCCCCCCACCCCCATCCTAGCGCCCTCCACCACTATGGGGACATTCAACCAAGGAGTGAGGAGGTCCTGCCCTTGCCCCTCGCCCTACCCCACCTCCCAAACAGGGGAGACTCCTGTAGGAACCTTGGAAGGACACAAGATGCCAGGCCTAGCGCGCTTGGGGATCCTCTGGACAAGGCCACAGTGACATCGCCAGGTGAGGATTTTGCTGCCCTCTGGGCGTCCCTTCAGCTTCCAGCCTTAGTCTTTTTCTCTTTGGACTCAGTCTAGAGACAGATTAGGATCTCAGGAAGGCTCAGTCCTCTTGTTAAACTGAAAGGGAAACTGAGGCTTAGAGGTTAGTGATTGACCAGGGTCAGGGGCCAGAGCTGAGGGGCCAAACAGCTCTGCCCAGCCCTGGCTGCCTCTTCCTCCCCCGCACAGCACAGATCCTAAGTGGGCGCCCTGGATCAGTGATCACTCTGCACAAACTTTTGGATCCCTCGGACTCCATGATCAACCATCCAAGTTGCTGCTTACAAATGTCTGCTTCCATTGAAGGTTTCCTGTAGTCATCAGCTTTCTGGAACTTTCTGAAATCAAACCTTTCTCAGATTGCTGGCAAGTGCTGGTTGGCTTCGGAATGGAGATGTGGCCTGCTGAGCACTGGCAGGGCTCCCCAGAGCTATGTGGACCCAGGCCCTGGGACCCCCTGCCCGTTCCTGATGGCACCTGTCCTCTCCCTCCAGCACGTGAGGAGGTGTTTGACAGGGACCCACGGAAGACAGCGTGAAATGCTTGACAATTCCCAAGGAGCCGTGGAGGCTCCAGAAACTTCCAGGCCCCACTCTGCCACTCTGGACCAGTATTGGGGACCCAGAGGTGGATCAGATCCAGCCCAGCCCTTGTGGGCTCCAAGTTTAGCAAAGGAGAGAGTTTCATGCTCTGGAACAGTTGCCTTGGAGTCTCGAATGGCACTTCCAGGGAGGGCACAGACTTCAATGCACAGAAGGGGAAACTGAGGCAGCCCTCAGAAAGACACAATTTGCCAAGGTCACACGGCAACGGCAAATCATTGTGTTTTTTCCTGAGGCTAGGACCCACAACTTTGCATTCTGGCCCCAGGCTCTTTTTCTGAACTTTAACCCCAGAGGCCAGCCTTTGAGACATGTACAAGGTCACCGCATTATGAGCCAAAGACCTGGTTCAGAATCCACCTCCCCCAAGTATGACTGTGTCACTTGGGTCACTTCATTGTCTGCACTAGGCCTCTGTCCCCCAAGACAGATGGCCTCTAAATAGCCCTGGCTCTAATTGTGAGTCTGGGATTCTCTGAAATTGGGTGTTCGGACCCGGCTGTGCGGTCTCTCAGTGGCTGGTTATAGGTCACTGCTGAGGGGGGTTTCTTCCACTACTGATGCTAAGAAATGCTGGAGATGGTGGTTACTTCAGCCACAGGCTGTGCGGTCCACTCTGAAGATGACCTGGGGGTCAGCTTTGCACACTTTGGACCCCATCGGACCCCTCCAATGGTGAGTCCCCTGATGAACTTGGCACCAAACTGTGTGAATGGCCCCAGATAGGTTGGGTTTAAAGAATGGAAAAGCAAGTCAGTATTGTACTTGCTGCCTCCCAGTCTACGCGGGCCCGATCTCCAGGGACCTGAGGTGAGCCTGCTCATCCAGTGCTCAGAACTTGGTCCTCTGGGAGACTACAGACCCCAGGGGACATGGGCTCATGCCCATCTGAAACTGGGTCTCAGGGTTGGAGCATTCCCTTTCCAGATCCTGAAGGTGCTGGGCTAGGTGGGACCCGGATCAGAGATGCCCAGAGTGACAGGGAGGGACCCCCGTCCATTTTGCAAATAGGGAAATGGAGGTCCAGAGAACAGGGGGGCTTGCATGACCCCCAGAGGACTGGTGGCAAAACGAGGACCAGAATCCATGTCTCCTGATCCTCCTGTCCAGAACCGCTCCTCTGCATCGGACACAATCTGCTGACATCCACGCTGAGCTCACCTCCTCTTTTTCCCAGAGCTTTGAATCCTTGGCAGAGGGCGCCTCGGCCCACCCCTGTGAGGTCTGGGCGATCAGGAGCTTTCCCTTCAACCACATGGTTCTTTCCTCTGAAGCTTCCTGGTGTCCCCTCCCCGCCTACCCGGTGCTCATTCCTTCCTGGTTCCAGAAACTGCTCCATCAACAGGCCACTGCTGCTCTTCCCTTTTTGCTGTAGTTCAGCCAGCTCTGCAGTTCTGGCACTCTCGGGGTGCAGATCCTCATCCTCCCCTGATTGGGGTCTCTCCTTGATTGCTCCTAGGGCTCCCCCCTGCCTGTGGCCCAGGCCTACTCTTTACCTCTGATCCTCTGACCCTTATCCCCCATCCGTCTTTCGTGGGGTCCCCTGGACCATGCCTTGCAGACACCATCCATGCTGGCCCAGGGCCAGTGGAAATAAGCAGCCCACACCTCAGAGGGGTGCTGTGAGGTTTATGGAGTTGATACCTGCACCAGGTAAATAAGGCGCAGGAACATGCTGCGACGGTGAGTGCTCACATCTCCAGGTGCGCTCAGGTGATATCATGGAAAGTCTCGAAGCTGGAGCCTGTGGCAGCCCAGGCAGCTGTGAATAGAAGGGGAGAGAGGAGGAGCAGCAGGAGGGGCTTTTGGTAATGGGCAGCAGTAGCCGGGACCGTGTGGGTTTCACCTGGGGGACAGCACGTTCAGGTTGGCTTCTAGAAAACTAGCCAGGGGGCTCAGTCGCTGAATCCTGAAGGGTGTGTTGGGGCTGAGCTCATTCTCCATCCCTGGACTTGGGGAGCACTATGTAGGGGGGGCACTGATGCCTGGGGAGGGGTGCACTGAAGCCCAGCCCAAGCCCTCAGGGTCACTTACTCTGTGTCCTTTGGCTTTCCCAGGACCCCACTGTCATCTCTGTCCTTTCTGCTGCAGCCCCCAGCGTGACCTACTCCATGTAGTTATCTTAGACCAAGCCCGGAACAGTGTGTCGAGGGCCGGCAGGTGCCAGCCCCTGCGCCACTCTTGCTGAACCAGTCCAGGTTGGCTCTGCAGAATCTTGCTCAGAACCACATTTTTCAAGTTAACATCATAACAATTCACGCTCTCTTCCAACACATGTTTTGCTCCTTTTATATACATCAGGCTGTTCTCTAAGTGAGCTCACTGACTTCCTGCATCAAGCCCTCGATGCCAGTGCCATTGTTCTCCTCACATCCCTGCTGAACAAGTGGTAAACTGAGACACGAGAGGTTTAGTCACTTAGTTAAGTGTCACAAACACTCAGCCCAGAGTCGGGTGCAGCCTCCACCCCTTCTGCCTTGGGTCCCTGCAGCCAGCCTCTCCTCTCCACATAGACCATATCAACCCCTGCCGCCTTCTGATGGCCTTCAGATAGCCAAAGATGCCAACCCACCCTCTTAAGGTCCTCTCTTCTCTGAGATAAATATCTCCAGTCTTCCATCTTTTAGACTTTTTTTTTAAAAAAATGAATATTTATGTGCTTCTTGCTTCATGCCGGGGAGTTGATGGTGAGCAGAGCAGACCATTCCCTCCAGGTGGCTACAGAAGATCAACTCACCTCTGGAAAACGGTGAAAAGTTACTATGGCAACAAGAGCTGGTAGAGGTGCAGGGTGCCTAGGAACCTGTGACTGAGGATTTGGCTTAGGAAAATCAGGGAAGGCTTTCTGGAGGAGGTGATGTTTGAGGTGAGACATCAGGAAAATAAGATGAACCAGGCCCAGGGGATGGCAAATGCCACCCCCACAGAGGGCAGAGAATATGCAAAGACAACTCGTGGAGGGCAGCAGGGCAGGAGGGCAGCAGGGCAGGAGGGCAGCAGGGCCCAGGCTGGAAGAAACTGCCTGGAAGAAACTGGAGACACAGGTATGGCAGGCTGCAGACCTGGGGGAGGTCTGAGTCACTCCTCAAAGGTCCTGGCCGTGCCTCTGCTCAAGGCTGGGCCTGAGCCACTTCATCTCAGTACCGTCCCAGCACAGCTGAAGCCAAACCTGGTCCAGATGGGGGCTGCCCTTGGTGAACACACCCTTGACCTCCTTTGTGGCTGCCTGTCACTGTAGAGAGCCTTTTTCATGTGGCTGCATTCCCGGTCCCTCCCACCTCCCCCCCGCACCCTGCCCAGCACAGCCTGGTCAGCCGGACACTGGCCCCCCAGCAGCTTGGCTCAAACATCTCCCACATGGCCCCCCCAAACACCTTGCATGCCTGCTTCACAGCAGTCTCCCCTCAAAGGTGAGCTGGGGTCCGCTCTCCCTCACCAGCTTGGAGGCTCCATGAGCTCAAGGGCAGGCCCGTTTCACCTTGTCACATCACCACAGAGGCTGCCCCCACTCAGCCCTCAGGGAGCACCTGTGACCTCCTCACCCGGCCCCTGCTCCATGCCCGGCCAGTGCCGGGTGCTGGGGATATGGAAAGCAGCCGTAGATGCTGGTGGGAAGACAGTCAGGTGAACAGGGGATGACATTGCAGCTTGTAGGAGGCATGGGGTCCCTGCTGTGAACTCGTAACGTGGTTTGGGTTTCGTTCTTGTTTTTGAGGGCCCATCTTCCTTCTCTTCTGGGCACAGGTGCTGCTCCTCCCTCTACTCCTGCGTCCTCCCCTCTCAGCCTTGCCCGAAGGTCAGCATCTTTTCCCACTGGGCTCCACTCACCCCCTGCCACCCTTTGTATGGCTCCAGGTCCCTCATGGTCCCCGCTCAGCCTGCTCCCGGTCCCTGACCATTTCAATGCGTGTTTGCAGCACCCTCCCTCTTCACACGAGATTTGTTGATTTCATAACCATAAATAGATAAAATGTTCTGAATGCTTCCTTCCATGTGCTAGTAGGATTGAGGGAGTGATAGCATCATGAAAAGGCCTTAGGAGAAAGAAAACAGCCTGCCAGGAGGCGCCGAAGACAGCACAGCCACCAGGAGAACCAGCTCCACAGGAGTTTATGTTTTCCCTTCATAGACATGGGGCCTGGGGAGCGGGCTAGAAAATCTGTCAGAAGACCTTTGCAAGGATTCAAATCCACCAATTCAAAAGAAAAATCTAATAAGACTGATCCAGTTAAAGATAAAACAGAAAAAAGGAGAAGTGGGGAAACCTGGCTTCTAATTCTGGATCTATCTCCTTCTAGCTGTGTGACCCTGGACAAGTTACTTGGCCTCTCTGAGCAGGTGTGTGGAGATTCTTCCCCTGGGTTAGATTAGAGGCTTCAGAAGGCCTGGGATCCCACACTGCTGTCATTTTCTTTCCATAAAGAGAAAAGTGTCTTTCTGACAATAACTTGATTACCAACGTGGGATAAATCCCTCTTCCCTAAATGCAGTCCTGAGGGCTGGAGTTGGGACAGGGTGGAATGCAGTACCCTGCCTCTTCGATACCAGCTCCAATTCATGTTGCCATGGGAACAGATGGGGAGCACCACTCCAGCCTGGGGAAGCCTCATCTGCACACCCTCAAAGGGGGCTAGGCATCCATGGGAGCCTATCCCATAGGGCTTCCCAACCTCTCCTCCTGTAACATGTACATAAGGAGCATTACTTCTCCAGGAACTTGGAAGAGTAAAAGGAGAGGAAATGATGGTTTGGTAAGCTCCCGGTTCAGAGAGTTTTCTGGGTGAGAAAGAGGGAGAGAAAAAGTGGAGATCTTCTTGGGTGAGCTCACCTTCTACTCTAAGGATGGCCAACTTTTTCTGTAATGAGTCAGATAGTAAATATTTGGGGCTTTGGGGGCGTATGGTCTGTGTTGCAGCTACTCAGCCCCGCCATTGTGGTGTGAAAACAGCCATAGACAATAGGCAAAAGAATGGATGTGACTGTGTTCCAATAAACCTTTATTTACAAAAAGACCAAATGGGTCAATTTGGCACATGGGCCATAGTGTCTAGGCTCCTGGTGTTCCACAGGGTGCAAGAGAATAAGTCTGGGTTGGGAAGTAGGAGCTGGGCTTAAGGTGCAGCATTGCCAGTGCCTGCTGTGCGACTTTGATTAAGTCATCGTCCACCTCTGATCCGTACTTTTATCATCTCTCAAATTAGCATCGTAATATCAGTCGGACTGGTCATGAGAGGCTGTCTAACAGATCAGTGACACTCTAAGAGTTTTCTTTCCTCTCCTCCATCACTTTGAGTAGAGTCGCACCCGTTGCCCACTCCACCCCAACCTGGCCATGCCCTTGCCTGCTGAGGGTGGTAGCAGCCTGCCAGAGGGGGAGGTGACTCGAAGGAAGACTAGATTCCTAGTCTTCCTTCCCAACTCCCAGCCCCGAGTGACCCCATTTCTGCAGCAAGTCTA